TTAGGGTTTAGGGTTTAGGGTGGGTTCAGGGTGCTTAGGGGTGTTTAGGATTTAGGGTTTTGGGTTTAGGGTTCAAGGTTTAGGGTTTAGGGTTTAAGGTTTAGGGTTTCAGGGTTTAGCGTCCCAAATACCATACACGCTGAATATGAGTCGTGGTACCTAAACTAGTTGGGTACTTGCAAAGTAGCCGAAAGCAGGTACCATTCATAGAAGCTAGACTTAAAGTAAGTATGACTCGTTTCTTCTTTAGGTTCTTCATGGAAGCCCTATACGAGCCCTACAGAAGCCCTAAAACGCAAGAGCCTTGAACTCTAGAGCGTAAAACCACAAACCCTAAACCCTCAACCCTAAACCCTCAAACCTCAACCCTAAACCCTGAACCCTGAACCCTAAACCCTAAACTGTGTAAAACCCCAAGCCCTGAACCCTAAACCCGAAGCCCAGGTTTGGCGACATGACCGCTTTGGACCTCATGCGCCTTCTTCCTCCCGACCTTTTTGGCGTCCGGGTCCCGGAAAGCACAGGGGTTTCGGGTTTACTTAGGGTTCAGGGTTTAGGGCTTCGGATGTTCTTTTTATGCATTGCTTCGGGAGTCCCGTGCAGACACAGGAGCCGGCCTGCTACTGGCCTTTCTTGAAAAGGTATGCCCCAAGCCCTAAACCCAGAAGCAAAGAAACTCGAATTCTTCAAGCCCTAAAGCCTAAACCCAAAGCCCGAAAGCCTATACTCTCAACCCTAACCCTAAGACTCCAAATGACCCAAAGTAGTATATATAGACTTTAGAGCCCAAAGTAGGTAGTGTTTGTATACTTGGAGTCTTAGGGTAAAGCCCTCATGCATAGTAACACCAGTACAACAGCCCTTATTCTTAGACCCCTACACCCCGTAACCTAAAAACCCGACAACCAGCCTTATAGAATATTCATGGTTAAGAACCCCAAAAGCACATAAGCATAAGCATTTTATAGTGATATCCCTACCTTATGGGGCTTCATTACAAGGGGGTTTATATGGGATATCCCTTTCCTAGTTTTTGCTTATGTTCTTTTTTTGGGGGGCCCTACATAGGTCCTCTAGTGAGTTCCGCAAGACAGCCCAAAGCCCAAAAATCCGAAGCCCCAAACCCTAAACATTAAACTCGAAAGGCCTGAAAACAAAACCCTATACCCCAAGCCCCAAAAGGCAAAGGGTCGAATGTAGGGTTTTTTTATAATAGGTATTGCTATTATGATTTAGGGAAGTATGCCGCAGAACACTACATAGGACCCTTTGGGAAAGCCCACACCCTGAAAGTCTTCTAAACCCCAAGCCTATTTCCGAAACCTAGTCAGTTCTCGAACAAAGCCCTGCACCCTTATCTGAACCCTTAACCCCTAAAGCTCTAAAGCCCTAAAGCCTAAAGCCTCAAAGCCCTAAAGCCCCGAAGCCCTAAAGCCCTAAAGCCTAAAGCCTAAAGCCCTAAAGCCCTAAACCCTAAACCCTAAAGCCCTAAAACCCTAAAACCCTCAACCCTAAACCCCTAAAGCCTAAAGCCCTAAAGCCATAAAACCCTCAAGTCCTAAACCACAAAGACCTAAGCCCGACACCCGATGTCCCTGGTATGTTCTTCAAGAAGAGGGTCGTTTTCTAAATTAGGGTCCCCTGTAGGGTCCTCATGATTATTATTATTGTTATTAACGGACATTAGGGTTTGGTGTCTAGGGTTTAGGGTTTAGGGTCCTCATTATAAGGGTGCCGTACTATCCTAATTTAGAGACCTACCCAAAAACAAACCTGATTTTAGAAGTATGGGCCCCTAATATGGACCCTTAGGCCTTTCTATTTCTAGGGACCCTTAAGGATACATCTAGGGTCTAGGGTATATAGTAGCTGTATAAGTATCCCAGGGTTAAGGGCCCATACTAGGCGCCATGGTTTCAACCTTAGAACAGAGGAAAAGATCTCCTTCACCGACTTTACCGCGGTGCCGGCCCGAGCTCTGTATAAGATCCCAAACCACTGGTACTTTCACAGGGTGTTTGGGCTTTTGAGGTTTTAGCCGGGGGTTTTCGTCAATTCATAAGGCCTCCTCAGATTTGAGTTTGTTGGGGTGCAATGGAGGCTTTATTGGGTTTTAAGATGGGTTTTCGGGTGTTGTACAGGTTAGTTCCCAAAAGACCGCAGTTGTTGGTCTTCAGGGGTGTTGTGGGTTTGTAGAAGGGTACTCAAGGAATCTGCGCGGTTCCCCTTCAACATATATGTTCAGTTCTCAGGGATGTCCACGGTATCTATGTTGATCGAGGCTAAGTCCAGCAAGGGCCCTGTAAGGCAAAATCTTGTCACTAGGAACTATAATCCCTAAACTCTAAACCCTAAACCCTAAGCCTAAACTCGATTTTGCGGTGGTTTAATGTATTCGGTTCTCGTTGATTATAGAGCTTCATTCATGCAGTCCCTTGCAGTATAGGAGCCTTATATAAGCTCTATATACCTTATAGAAGCCTTATAGAAGCCCTGTATACCCTGAACTCCCCACCTGTAGTTTCCCTAACCCTAAACCCTAAACCCTAAACCCTAAACCCTAAACCCTAAACCCTAAACCCTAAACCCTAAACCCAAAATCCTACAGCCTAAACCCTAAAGCTCTGAAGTTTACTTGTAGTTTCCTTTAAACCCAGTTCTGAAGTTCCCGGGTTCATTGGAACAAAGGGCCCAGGGTTGCCCCCAGTGGACTCAGGTTTAGGGTTTAGGATTTAGGGTTTAGGGTTTAGGGTTTAGGGTTTAGGGTTCAGGCAGCTGGAAAAAGTTGATTACGACGGTTTTGAGGCTTACAGTCTAGGGCGGCACTACTTGGGGTTTAGGTTCAGCGTGTGCTTGGGATTCTAGCATAGCCTTAAAACCCCCAAGCCCTAAACCCTGTTGAAACGGTTTAGTTCAAACCCGAAACCCTAAACGGTTTAAACCCTAAACCCTAAACCCTAGACACTACAAGACCCTGCCCTAATCCTCGCGAACTGTATATCCGGACGCACTAGCCAGAAACCAGGCAGCTCGAGCTAGGGGCCAGATCCGGAACCTTCGAAACCCTGCCAATACAAGGCCTTCAATCCCAGAGACTCCAAAACCCCTTAATTAAGGAATATACCTTAAATTATAATAGGATCCATCATCTGATTTGAGGTATATTCCCTAATTAAGGGGTTTGGGAGTCTCTGGGAAAATTACCAATATTTTTTCTGGGGGTTCCTTATTCTACTCCTATTGTACAGGAGCCCAAAACCCTTTTCTAGTTTTATTGAGGCCCTTGCACTAAAGCAATTAGAGCACGCCCTGAATGTAGTCCATACTGAAGCAGCTGCATGATCCCACAACCTACGACTAAACCCTAACAACTGTTCCCTAGACCCTATTCCCTAAACCCTATTCCCTAAACCCTTTTCTATAGGCCGTATATTCCCTAATTAAACCCTAACCCCTAACCCCTAAACCCAATGCCCGAAACCCTAAACCCTATAGGCCGTATATTCCCTAAATGCTAAACCCTAAGCCCTAAACCCTATTCCCTGAACCCCAAACCCTATAGGCCCCATATTCCCTAAACCCTAAATCCTTTTCTAGTCACTAAGGCCCCCCGACGAGTTTGTCATCAGGCGGCGCATGCTGTGACAAGGGCTTCGTCATAAAGTACACGAAGAAAGCTGACTCGCGCGATGGAAGACCCCTCAACCCTAAACTCTCAACCCCAAACCCTAAACCCTAAACCCTAAACCCTCCACTACCCCGGGCGGATCGTCATGTCCGCAGGAAATACGACGGGGGCCTCCCGGTGTTTGGAAGACATCGGAGCTCTTCGAACAGCAACACGGGATTTTGTTGTTTCGTGCTCTTCGCTTGAAAGCAAGAGTTTAGGGTTTAGGGTTTAGGGTTTAAGGTTAAGGGTTTAGGAGTCTCGGTAGAGCTGGATCTCCAAACATGATTCTTCAGCAGGCGATCGCACCGCCACCAAGCCCTTTGGACGAGACAGTCCTCAGCCTGGTCGCGGTTGTGCGATCTCAGGTGGCAGCCGGGTAGGGGTGGCAAGCTGACACAGAAGGAGTTGCTGAGCATGGAGAGTGTTGGTCTTGCTCCAAACTCTTACGCGACTTTAGAGCATGTGCGAGACCGCACTTTGTCTGGTGAACACTCTTGCGATGCTGCCTTCGCCTGGGTCGCACAAGTGTTAGACCTCAGGTTTTAGGATTCAGCCTTTGGGGCTCTTTTAAATGCAAGGGTACTTATGATAGGGTTTAGGGGTCTGGGGTTTAGGATCCTAAGCCCTAAGCCCTAAACCCTAAAGCCGAAACCGACCACTGATAAGGATCCGAGGTTTCTGGAACCTGTGCTGGGGTGTTCAATGGGTTCATGGGTTGGTTTAGGGTTTAGGGTTTTGGTGTGTATTTAAGTGTTTTGCAAGCCTTCCGTGTTTAACCCCAGGCCCTTTAAGCCCTAAGCCCTAAACCCTGAACCCTAAACCTTAAACCCTAAACCCTGAACCCTCAACCCTCAACCCTTTAAGCCCTAAGCCCTAAACTTTATGACTTTAAGGCCTGAACCCTAAACCCTGAACCCTCAACCATTTAAACCCTAAGCACTAAACCCTGAACCCTCAACCATTTAAACCCTAAACCCTAAACCCTGAACCCTCAACCCTTTAAACCCTAAACCCTCAACCCTGCACGCTAAACCCTAACCCCTAAACCCTAAAGCCCTAAACCCTAAAGCCTTAAACCCTAAAGCCCAAAAACCCTAAGCCCTAAACTCTAAACCCTAAACCCTAACCCCTAAACCCCTAAAGCCCTAAACCCTAAACCCTCAGGCGCTTCTGGCCCGCCAGGGCTTCGGCAAAGCCGAGCTGATGGCGGCCTTTCGGCGATTCGACGTGCGGAAGGAAGGCTGGTGATTGGGGACTGGGGGGTTTAGGGTTTAGGGTCTAGGGTTTAGGGTTTAGGGATTAGGGACTGGGGGAGTTTAGGGTTTCAAGATTTTAAAGGGTTTAGGGTTTAGGGTTTACATGGGTTTGCGGGTTTGAAGGTTTACGGTGTAGGGTTTAAGGTTTAATATGGGGCCTTAAACAATTACAAATACTATTTTGGGGGTTCCTTATTCTATTTATAAGCCGTATTCTAATTATTAAGGCCTCCATACTAGGGATTTGGGGGGTTCAGGCCAGGGTGTTAGAGGGTGGTCAGGTTAAGGGTTTAGGGGTTTATGGTTCAGGGTTTTAGGAGGTTTCAGGGTTTAGGGTATTGGATGATTTAGGGCTCAGGGATTGCAGGGTTTTCGCGGTGCGTGAGCTCATGTATGTATACCGTGTTACACACAGATGGGGTTCCTAGGTTTAGGGTTGAGGGTTTAGGGTTCAGGGTTCCTTAAACCCTAAACCCTAAACTCTAAACCCTAAACCCTAAACCCTCCTTCCTATCTAGGGTGCGTGATGTGCGTTTCAGACAGGGAAGGCCGGATTTATTTTCCTCGGTTTTTCTGGGTTTTTTTCTGGCAGAGTCGGTGCGGACGCGATGTTTTTGTCCAGGAAATCAAGGAGTGCCCCTCTAGAAGACTCGGCCCAGGGTGCGAGGATGTCTTGCAAAAGATAGTGGTCGGATTTGCTTTGGGGTTTAGGGTTTCGGATTTGTTTTACGATTTAGGATTTAGGGTTTAGGGGTCTTGGGGGGTTTGGGTTTAGGGTTTAGGGTTAAGAGTTTAGGTAGGACCAGGGCGAATCGTGGTGGAGCCAACTTAGCTGCTCAGACAGACCATGTTTGACTCGCACGGCCCCACATGGGGTAACCGCAAGGGGGGTAACCAGGTGGACCATCGACAGGTGGAGCTAAACCAGGACATGTATTTTAGTTTTTGGTCACTGGTTTTTCGGGCCTAAACAGCTTAGGCACTACCCCAAACCTTGAACACTACCTAAAGCCCCAAAGTAGGTAAAATCATGGCCCAACACCCATTGAAAAGGCTATGTTTCTACACACTTTGGGGGGCCCAGGGCAAACATAAGCCTAAGCCGATCTAAAACTAAGCCGCGACGGACCCTAAACCCTAAACCCTAAACCCTAAACCCTAAGCCGCGACGGGCGACTGCCGGAAGAAAGAGGTCTCCGAGGTCTCCAAAGTCTCGAGCGGAGAGATTAATTTGCCTACCCATAGGCCCCATAGTAGTTCCTTTGTGGGATTCCCTACCCAAAGGGTCCTAGGTACTGTTATGGGGGATACTTTCCCAAATCATAATAACAATTCCTAATTTAGTATAGAAGCCCTACATTCTACCATATAGGTAGTTGGGACCCTTTGGGTAGGCTCCATAGTAGTTCCTTTTTGGGATTCCCTAATAGGATCCTAAATATAAGCCTCAAAAAGGAACTACTATGGGGCCTATGGGTATACACCCTAGACCCTAAATTTCGATGTTCATCGGACACCGCGACCTCTGTTCCCTGCGCTGCGAGGCAAGATCTCTTTAGCCGCGCTGTCGGAAGTCCTGAAAAATGCCGGGTGGGAAGCCTGGATTGGAGCCCTAATATATGGGCCTTTATAATTAGAATAGGGCTTGCGGGTATATTATACTAGAATTATATCAGTTTTAATTGTTAAAACCTAAACCTTAAGGACGAAATGACCCTGAAAAGTAGGGGCCCTATACCCCTATACTATGGAAGCCCTAGATGGTATAGGAACCCTAATCGCTTTTAGGGGTCATTTCGTCCTTCAGGTACTCTAGTTCTGATGGTTAAGATTCTTTCGCAGTTTTGTATAGGGTTCATGCTTTCTACGTATATGTATATATGTGTACATATATACACACACATATTTGTATAATCTGTATATATATATATATATGTATCTACATGTGTATAAATACATACATACATACATGCATACATACCTACAGACCTACGCACATACATATATACACACACAGACATACATGTTCATTGCAGTGCAGCCTGGTCCCGCAGCTGTTTGACTCCAACGTCAGATCCGGTCACATAGGTTTGCAGCAGATACCAGTTAACTTAGGTTTAGGCGTCCTATGTACTGTTATGGGGGATACTTCCCTAAATCAGAAGTGTAATTCCTAACATAGAAACCCTACATTCTACTATATCGGTACTTTGGACCACTTGGGTGTGATCATTGTTAGAGTCCAACCTTGCCCCATGCAGCCGCATCTTGTAGCTGCGAAAGTAACCCCCGAAGCCTCAACTCCAACAAAGCGAGAGGTCAAGGTCCTGTACCTTAAGGCTCTAAGGACTCATATGTTGAGGCTTTTGGAGCCCAAAGACCATACTGTATAAGGCTTTGGTAGAGTTTGCTTGAGTGAGAGAAGTCTGATGATCTGGGGCCAGCCTCGAAGATCCGTAGCTCTCCGGAGCTTCGTGTCGAGGGCTCTACCTTGGCAGAATCGTCGGTCTCGTTCTCCTGGGATCCTGGCATGCCTTGCGATGGTTTTGCAGACGATGCCCAGAGATTTGGGACCTGGCGCAACTGTATCTGCTGGTGGCTTCCATACCTGTGCCCTAGGCACAGATGAAGAGCTTGTTTGTTTTGGAGGAAACTGGGGTCTCGATTCCTCTGGCCAGTGCGACGTGCCGGCTGACTTGGGACCTGTGGCAGGATTCTCAGCTGGGCACGAGCACTCCTGCGCAGTGACGATGGATGGCAGGCTTCGTTGTTTCGGGCTAAACTTTGCTGAGCAGTGCGATGTGCCTGAAGATTTGGCACCGGTTAAGGCAGTCTCTGTCGGCAGATATCACACTTGTGTCGTAACGACTGGAGCACAGGCTGTGTGCTTTGGGTGGAATGACGATGGTCAGTGCGATATTCCTGCAGACGCGGAGTCAGTTCTAAGCGTTTCGGCTGGAGGCGAACATACCTGCGTAGTGAAGCAAGATCGGCAGCTTGTGTGTTTTGGCTTAAACGATGAAGGCCAGTGTGACGTACCAGACGATTTGGGATCAGTGCGAGAGGTGTCTGCAGGCTATTCCCATACATGTGCCCTGAAAATGGATGGCCAGCTGATCTGTTTTGGTGGGAATGAAGATGGCCAATGTGACGTCCCAGCTGGCCTGGGCTCGGTTCTGGCCGTTGCTGCAGGCGGAGAGCACACCTGTGCCATAAAGATGACTGGAGAACTGGTTTGCTTCGGATGCGGTGCAGATAGCGAAGGGCAGTGCGATGTGCCTCCCGACTTAGGCCCAGTTCTGTCCGTTTCCGTGGGCGTTGCGCACACATGCGCTATGACGGTGGGCTGGCAGCTCGTCTGTTTTGGACTGAACGATGATGGCCAGTGCGATGTACCGGAAGATCTGACCCAGGCATGAGACATGCAAGATTGAAGTCGCTGGCAACGGCTGCAGTTGTTAAGGCCTTGTGTGAATTTTGCGGGAAGAGTAGCTTGGGGCAACATAGACTTGAAATAGGTTCAATAGATCCCTAGATGCCCGAACAATTTTGGTAGACTAGTCTTTCCTTGGGTTCCCTACTCTACTTTGAGCTTATAAGGAGTCTGAAAAGACCCGTTCAAAGGTTATGTGAGTGCATGTCTTCCTCACTGCCCCTCAATGCAACCCCGCTCCTCAATAAAAAAAGAGACCTACCGGGTAGGACTTTGGCAAGGACCCTGCTCCGAAAGCCCTAGAACGTTTAGGGTTTAGAGTTTGGGGTTCAGGGTTTAGGGTCCATATTTGTGCTGCTTGGGCTGAAGCCGAGAAGGAGTGCCAATGCCACGGAAAGACTAGACAATCTCAATCCGTTAACAAGTGGCTCGGCTACTGCAGCTGCACAGTAAAGTCTTGAGAGTTCCCGAAACCTTATTCGACGGTCAATTTATCAGTTAGTCTTCCCGTTATGTGGGTAGTTCTCAAAATATTGAATCCCTTTTACGGCACCCTTATAAGAAGCACCCTAAAAGGCCTTTTTGGGTCTCCGAACTAGTGCGGCACCCTTATAAACAGCACCCTAACAGGGACCCTAGCTTGGAGAACAACCCATGATTCATTGTGAGCCCGGATGCACGAGGCATCACCTCAACACCTGCAGCCGTAGAATCTCCAAACATTTAGGGTTTAGGGTTTAGGGTTCAGAGTTTCAAAGCATGCACTTTCCGGCCAGATGCCTGATAGAAGCCTTACAGAACCCGAGAAACTCATATGGATCCCTTGTCAATCAACTCATGGAACCTTTTGATCTCTAATAGAACCCGTATATATCTCCTGTAGATCCGTTCCAATGTCTTAAACCCTAAAACCTAAACCCTAGACAGCATCCAACGACCCTCAACCCTGGAGCTTATACCCGACGACCCGCAATCCATGCAAACTCGAATCTAAGGGTAGGGTAACTATAAGGGTACTGTACATGCACGATGAGGATACTATGAGAGTGCTATCGGGACACTATAGGGTCTAAGTGGCCTCGGGATCCAACATCGAGGTGGAAGGATGAACATCCACATACCTTCCTCGTATTTTCACTCTAGTAGCCCAGCGGGGTTACCAACGAAAGTGCCGTATAGTCCAACCATAAACCCTAAACCGATGGCTGTAGCAGCATACCCCCCCGACAGTTTAACTGTAATCATGGAGGCGCCTACATTCCCCTAAACCCTGAACCCTAAACCCTGAACCCTAAGCCCTAAACCTAAACCCTGAACCCTAAACCCTGAACCCTGCCGACTCCTCCGGCTTTCGCTCAGGCCTGCGTCAAAGCTTGAAGCTTTCAAAGAAGCAGATGTTGGCCAGGCGGGCTAGGGTTTCGGGTTTAAGGTTGGGGGTTTAGGGTTTTAGGGTTTTAGGGTTTGGCTTTAGGGTTTTAGGGTTTAGGGTTTTAGGGTTTAGGGGCGATGATCAGTATAGAAGCCTGCGCTCCGCGATGAATACTATCCCACGCTAAGTAGAGCATACCCCAAAACCCTATTAGCGGCTGTCAAGGCCGATCTATATGGGCACTGTTATGGCTTTGGGATTCTGTGCTAAATCCCTGAGCCTCCCCGATGACAGCCCTCCACACCATCTCTCGGATGACCTTCAAATGCATGTCGAACACAGCAGCTTCAATAGTTGATCATCTACCTAAACCCACCAGAACCTACAAAAAACTGGGTTTTGCTAGGTTAACCTCGGCCCTATACCGGAATCTGAAAGGTCCAAAACCCATACGGATCCCTCGTCGCGTCACCGCCTGTCCCCTTGCCCCCCGAAATTCTCAAGTCTTTTGGACGTATCCGACAAGTCTCAGTCGAGGTACGGAGGGGTCTTCGGGGTTTGGGGCTTCGGATTTCCCTTACAGCACCTGCTTTTGATATTGGAGTGTCCAGTGCGGAAACACGACGACACCAGCATTGGGTCGCGGAGGGCTCCCGCAATTCAGGATTCACAGCGGATTAGGAGGTGGGGAAACAGCTTACGACCGCATCCGCCAGCGCCGAGGCGAATTAGTGATTTTGGAGCCTCTGGGTGAGGTGCATGATCAAAATGCTCTTGATTCAGTACAAGGCTAAAAGGCTTAGAACCAGCTGTTAGCCACTTGTTTTGATTGCGGCCTCTGGACAAGACAAGATTCTGCCTTAAACCTAGGCCTTTAAACCCTAACACAGATAAACCCCATACAGCCTGTCTAGAGTCTAGAGCCGCTATGGAACCCGAATAGAAAATTTTGGAACTTCTTCTAGAATCCTAGAACCCTTACCGCAAGGACGGCGCAATCGATTTCGATGAGTTCTGTGCGCTGATCAATGCCTGACAGCATGAGGGAAAGAGGTTTTTTTGAGGGCAACAGTGTGTTCCTTTTGGTATCCAGCGGGTTTGACTCTAAACGCTGAGTCCTGAACCTAAAACCATGATCCCGAAACCCGTTATATAATCCTAAACCCTAAACCCTTGAACTCCTAAACCTTCGATTTCGTACCAACCTTACATGAAGATGTTAATCTTGCAGCCCAAGCATGCTCGGCAGGTAAGAACGCCTGTTTCCGTGTCGATAATTGCCTTCCTATAGTTAAGACGGTTTAGGGGTTTAGGTGTAGGAGATAATGCTGGCCCGAACGTAGGCAGCGAGGACACGAGAACTCCAGGTACGTAATTTCTCAGGTTTCTTGATTATCGATTCTGAGTGACTTGGCTGTCTGTTAATCTCAGAACCAATCGATCCTATGCTGCTTGGCGGTCTATCTGAACCTATCCTCTGCCAGACAAAGGAACTACGCCAGGGAACATAGATAAATCAATTCATTGCGCACTTCTGGCTCTGCAGAGAGGCAGAAAGGCATGGGTGGATGCATCTGCATTTATGCACGCATACGTATATATGGTACCATATATGTGTTGTGTGCATGCGTTTATGGTTCGTCCCTTATTTCGCGTGGTCTGCTGATTTAATCATTTGTCTTGCGCTCGCTGAACTTTAAACCCTAAGCCCTATAAATACCCTAAACCCTACATACCCTAGCCCTAAACCCTAAATGCTACACCCTAAGCCCGAAACCGAAACCTCATGTCGTTTTGGGCTTCGTCTCCTTTGTGGTTTCGTGGTGCAGGAGTATGAGATGATGCACATGGGTCGAACTGTAGAGTCGCAAAGCAACGTCTCCTATAGTGCCAACAAAATTGCAAGGTTTCAACTCTGCATTCATGACGATTTCGTCATGTGTATGTACATATATATATATATATGTACATACATACATACATACATACATACATACATACATACATACATACATACATAACCATGAACCCTGAACTCTCAACCTTACACATCATACATGTATTTATGTTTCCTTGCTCGGCCCGCGGGGTGCACAGGTAATCCCGAACCTCCAAGAATCTGCTTCTAGAAAAACCCACCGAGGCTTAATTCTTCAAAGTGTTCCAGGTTGAAATTGCATTAAACATGGGTTATCCAAATCGGTTGGCCGGTTTTAAGTACCTGGAAGCCACGGTTAGGGTTTAGGGTTCACCTGAACCTTGGACAACCTACCGTTTCACATTTCCTATCATGATTTCCTTATGGTAAAAAGGTATTGTTTAGGGGTTGGGGTTTCGGGGTTAAGCCGCTGTCCTACATTCACGATGTTTTAGAGTTTTGGGTTTGGGGTTCCTGAACCTCGTCCCCACATAGCTGGCGGCTCGATGATGCGTCGAGAGAAAAGTGCTGGGAATGTTCAGAGCGGGGTCGGGTAATGTTTAGGGTTTAGGGTTTATGTAGGGATTGCTGTAAAGTAGTGGTGATCATCGTAGTAGTGTCGAGTAGGAGTAGCAAAAGTAATCCGCAGTACCCTGTAAGCCCTTGGTGCGACGACGCCTTAAATCCCGCAAGCTGCAATATCTTCCAACCAGAGGTTGCTTTCTTCTTGAATGTAGCACTAGGAGTTATCAGCAAGGTAGCTTACTGTTTACACCCTATTGAAACTAATCCATGCAGCTTCGTTCCTGAGGCACCACGCCGCTATAGGGTGGCCACCACCACCAACAACGACAACAACAACAACAACAACAACAACAACAACAACACCAACAACAACACCACCACCAAC